ATTCCCAGAGTTTCCTGGGAAGAGGTACTGATTGTTCAACCACTCTGAGCATTGTAGTTCTGTGAGAGGAATAGTCACCAGTGCATCTACCGGTAAATATGCTATGGAAACGGGTGGGAACCTCAAAGCTGTAAATGTCATGCTCACCTCATGGCATCAACAGGTAATTTTAAAAAGTAATCTGGAAGCCCATAATCAAACTGATGGGCAGAAGGCATCTCATTTTTTAAAAAATAATTATTTTATTAAACGTTTACACATAACAAATTATTCCAACAAATCATCTTCATTATATTTCCCCCCATTTCCCCCTCCCCCCATACCCTCCCTCCCTCCCCCCTACGACTTCCCTCAGTTCCTCTCTCTGATTTTTTAACACATATTATTCTCTGCATGTTGTAAAAATGTAAAGATCCTCCAAATATCTATCTATGATTTTAACAACAATAAATTTGTGTATGTTTATTCAAAACGGGCAGAAGGCATCTCAGACCCAGCAAACAGCACAGTCCACAACAGGCAGACAGGAATCCACAGGTTGCAAAGCATTCAACATGGTCTGTGATCGGCTAGCAGGTGTGACCTAGGATAGATTGGCATCTGTGTAGCACCTGCCTTTGCAGACAAGTTGCTGATGTTAAGAAACCAAGCTTGGAGCAACAATTTGATAGAGCCAGCCCAGCCCTACTGCGTCCTCGGGTCACCTGGGTCAGCTTGGTTGACAAGTCTGCTCACCCCTTTTGGTGCAGTGGCATTGCCTTCCTGATAGGCGGGGGAGGCGGAGAAGCCCCCCTCCCCCACCTATCAGAAACCGGATCCTAGCCTGCACCCTGCTTTGGGAAATGGGGATGCAGACTGGGACTTGCGCTGTGACAGGGGGCGGAGCTGACAGAGCCGAAGGTGGGCTTCCCTTTCCCATTTAAGCAGCCTGCACCTGGGGCACTACCTGTTCCTTCCCTCGCCAGAACTGACCCGGTGGTTTTGCCTAAGGTAAAGGTAAAGGTACCCCTGCCCGTACGGGCCAGTCGTATCCGACTCTAGGGTTGTGCGCTCATCTCACTTAAGAGGCCAGGAGCCAGCACTGTCCGAAGACACTTCCGGGTCACGTGGCCAGCGTGACGAAGCTGCTCTGGCGAGCCAGCACCAGCGCAGCACATGGAAACGCCGTTTACCTTCCCGCTATAAAGCGGTACCTATTTATCTACTTGCACTTAAGGGTGCTTTCGAACTGCTAGGTGGGCAGGAGCTGGGACCGAAAGACGGGAGCTCACCCCGCCGTGGGGATTCGAACCGCCGACCATACGATCGGCAAGTCCTAGGCACTGAGGTTTTACCCACAGCACCACCCGCCTCCCAGTTTTTGCCTACCTCATAGCAATTGTCACAACTGGTTGGGCATTGTGGCAATCATTTGTTTTGGATGGAGGGGAGGTTGCAGTCTCCGCCTGCCCCTCCAAACGCTGGGGTATCCCGTTAAAGGGATCCGGGGGGGGGGAGTGGCCATGTCCACCTGTCTCCGGGGGGGGGGGGGGAGCAGGGCCGAAGGCACTCCCCCAAGCAGCAGTTCCTGCGGAGGCCACCCTATTGGATGCAAGTTTTAGGAACCCCCGCCTGGATTGACCACTTCCGGTGAGTGGGCCAGAAGTATTTAGATTGCCCCATGCCCAAGCCAAACCTCTTTCATCTGTACAGTGGTACCTTGGGTTAAGTACTTAATTCGTTCTGGAGGTCCGTTCTTAACCTGAAACTGTTCTTAACCTGAAGCACCACTTTAGCTAATGGGGCCTCCTGCTGCCGCCGTGTCGCTGGAGCCCGATTTCTGTTCTCATCCTGAAGCAAAGTTCTTAACCCAAGGTACAGTGGTACCTCTGGATGAGAATGGGATCCATTCTGGAGCCCTGTTCGCATCCAGAGTAGAACGCAACCCGCGACTGCGCGTGCACAGGTCGCAATTTGCCGCTTCCGCCCATGCGCGTGGCGTCATTTTGAGCATCTGCACATGCGCAAGCGGTGAAACCCGGAAGTAACACGTTCCGTTACTTCTGGGTCACCGCAGAGCGCAACCCAAAAATGCTCAACCCAAAGCTACTTCAACCCAAGGTATGACTGTACTATTTCTGGGTTAGCAGAGTCTGTAACCCGAGGTACCACTGTAATCAATAAAGTTGTGGCCTGTTTTGACCCCAAACCAGTCTTATTGGTCTTTTATTTGTATGGGTTGGGGTATGGGGAGCCCGATGCCTGGTCCCGCAAGCTGTAATGCTTTCTCCAGCCATGAAAGGGGAGGTGGAGCAGCAGAACACAGACCAGGCTGCAAGCTCCCTCCCACTGAAAGCTGCCCTGGTGGTGCAGGAAGTACAGCAGCTGGGTCCCTCTCCCCGAGTCCCCTGGTTCAAGACCCCTGGTGCCCAACACTTGGTTCTGTTCCTCATTGCAATACACTTCTACATTTTTGCTGTCCTCCTGTTTACATCAGCAGCAACAGAGCATTTGACCTATCAGCAGATCGCAAAGATGTGTAGAATTTATGCCCGAGCGTTTCTTCTAAATTAATGCAATATTTAACAATGTCAAAAGCTTTGCATTATATGAAAGATTATGGCGTTACAAAGTCGACATGCTGCTGAAACACAATGCCTTTTACTATGGCAGATTAAAGTGACAGCTGTTATTATGGTGACAATGTCTTCATTTACACAAAGGGGAGCCTTCTCCAGTTCTTATCTTGAAACTTGAGCTCTTGCAATGCTGTTTCACTCCCATTATCTATTCCATACGGCGCCTCTGTCGTTTCTTTTATAATCCTTCTGCTATTTTTATTCATTTTATTTTTAGAACAAGGCAAGGAGTCTCAATCCCAAGGCTTAAGAGTGTTCTCATTAGAAATGTGAAGTGCGAAAAACCCTTAGCATAACCTAAATTTTTTCTACTGCCATAGCTTTCCGCATGCCAGTGTATCGCAGCTACCCCTAAGCACCTCCCACAAAAAGCCAGTTGTCTTCAAACATGAAAGTTGATCTATTTATCCCCTCATCAGGCTCAAATTTCTTGCTGTTCCCTATACGATATACTAAGTTCATTTGTTTCTTGTGATTTGTGGATCCCCTCATGCCATCCTAGGGTCAGCGAAATCTGGTCCATTGCAAGCAACAAGCTACAAAGCCTTAGTGTTCCTCAAACTTCATGTCAGGAGAGTGGAATTATAGTTATGGACAGAATACACAGAGTTAGGGTTTCTTGTGAATAACACACTCTCCCCGCCCCCAGTTCTTAGTATACATTGTTAACTGAGAAGATACATTTGATTTGAAACGTGACTACAAACAATTGCAATTGTTGAACTATAGTGTTTTAGTTTGTTGCATTGTTTCAACTCTCCATTTCTCCTAGTCCTTGATTTATGTCAGCGGATGCTGGACCATTAGGGCAACCAGGGCTTAGCGCTACCAGGTGAAATGCTAACCAACTTTTTTTTTACATTTCCCCCCAAATCTCCAAGCCATGCTCTTTGCTGTGCCACACACACCCTTCCATAAACCATTTGAATTTACAGAGGCTCAGGGAGACATTTCTGCCAATCTCCCATTCTCCGCCCAATCGATTCTCTGCACCAATCAGCCAACCTCAGCCCAAAAGCTCCTATGGCCAGCAGGTCACATGGACTTTGGCCCCAAAGCTCTACCATGCTAGAACTATATTTTATAATAATGATGATGATGATGTGCATTGCTTTGTAATGATTTGTTGGGTCTCTGGACCATAATAAAGATTGATTGAGGATGATGATGATGATGATAATTAATAATAATAATAATATACCCCCCTATCTGGCTGGGTTTCCCCTGCCATTCTTAATATATACCCTAACATGTTCTGTTTTTATTTCTCCGACTTGCCCTGTCTCCATTCCCTCAACCTGGCGAGGGGTGTGAGAAGCTGCTTTTTTGAATCTCTGACTTGACAGTTCTATTCCCATTGCTGTTCCTCTAAAACTTTTTGGGGGGCAGACCAGAGTTTCAGAGTCCCTCACAGGAATGTATGGCCCTTCCAGATGTTATTGGTCTCCAGCTCGCATCTCCCCCAGCCGGCAACCTCTGGAAGGGCACAAGTGCCCCATCCTTGCCTGCCGCAAAGACCACACCTTTAAGAGCACGTATCAGAAGAATGCAGAGACAAGGCCGAAATTCAAAAGAACCATCAGCGAAGCCAAGCCAATTGGAGGTGCGATATTGCAAAGGGCCACTGGGTGGCGCGCTTCCTCAATGGAACGCATTCCCTCCCTCGGTTCTTTCCCATGTTTCTCCCTCCCTCCCCATAGAGATAGGAAAAGGTTAGATACTGTATAGTTTTAGCTTCCGAGTTGACTTCGGACTCCCTTTTCTCCCTACATCTCCCACAAGGCGGAAGTGGCTGATGCCCATAGAAAATAACAGAGAAGTCTTGAGCTTTTGAGGTCGTGATTGGGGGCAGCCCTTCCAACCATATGAGGGGAAACTCCGATTAATAATAATAGTAACAATAATTTTATTGTTCTTAACCCCGCTCATCCGGCTGGATTTGCCCAGCCACTCCAGCAAAATGTTAAAAAATAATAAAATATCAGGCACTAAAAACTTCTCGGAACTTCAGATGTTTCCTAAATATTGTGTAATTTTTTTTATCCCTCTGACACCTGATGGGAAGTAAATTCTCACTAACATAAACAAATCAGCAAATGTGTTTCTGCTGCTGCTGCTGCCGCCCAGTCACAGCTGTAGGCGGAAATCCTGAAAAAGTCATCGCAGCGATCGCTCTTCACTTTTCCTAGCTCCACAGTCACGCGGCTGCGCAGTCCTCCATCGCCAGGAGTCTATGGTCTCTCGCGACGATGGCGCCTGGGGCGCGTGCGCCGAGTCCCTTCCGCTCCTTTCCCCAACGCCTGGGGGCGGGGCCTCGCGGCAAGCGGGGCGGGGCCAGCCGTGGCCGAGAGCCGCCCGGGCGAAGGAGTCACGCGGGCCGCCATGGACGGGCCCGGGGAAGGAGAAGAGCCGGCCGCTGCGGAAGAGGCGGCGGGGGGCGGCGGCCTGGAGCTGCTGGCCCGGCGGCAGCGCAAGGAGAAGCGCGAGCTGCAAGGTGAGGGAGCCGGCTGGGGCAGAGAGACCGAGGGAAGAGCAGGCAGGCAGGCAGGCGCTGCTGCTGCTGAGGGAGGGAGGGAGGGACCCCCATGAAAGGGGGCGGGGGAGCCGGGTTGCTAGGGAGCCAGGAAACGAGGGTTCGTGGGTGGGCGAGTTTCACTTAGCGGGCTGCATATGGAGCGCCTACACTTCGGAACTCCCCGCCACTTGATACCTGGCAGGCGCCGTCTCGGTACCTGCTTTTCGGCGCCTGCTGAAAACTTCCTGGGAGGTTTCTAAGCAGAGGTTGGGTGGCCATCCGTAAGGCACGATGCAGCTGAGATTCCTGCATTGCAGCGGGTTAGACTAGATCAGTGGTTCCCAACCTTTTTTGGCCATGCCCCACCTAAGCATCTCTAAAATCCTGATGACACCCCACCCTCCCGTGACATACAATTCTTATTATTCAAAAAGTGAACTCCTATTCACGTGGAGGAAGCCTAAAAGGCCATTCACTGTTAATAACTCATTCTCAAATTGACCCCCTTAAAAATCAAATCGACCCCTTGTGGGGAGTGTGCCCCACATTGGGAACCACGGGACTAGATGATCCCTGGGATGCCCTCCAACTCTGATTCTGTTATTTTTGTTGGGGCAAGCCCACCTGGAAGCTTAGGAACTTGCGGGAACCTTAATCTGCTTTCTTTTTTAAGTTTTGCACATTGCAATTTTTTCTATATTTCATTGTTTTGTCTCCTTGTAAACCGCTTTGTGGTTTTTTAAACATTACAATCAAGCGGTATATAAATTTTATGAAATGAATGAATAGAAGCAGGAGCAAGACTTGTGGCACCTTCAAGACCTAGCAGGGTCAGTGTATCTGGCAAAGTAAATGTATGCAGCTGCCCCATATAACACGGGTTCTCTGGTCCACTCCTAGAACAAATGCACAGGGCTGGTTTTGACCCTGGAAGGGGGGAAGCTTTGGGGAAGATGCCTTCCTTGGTTGGTGGGCCTCACCCAGAAGGAAAGGCCAAGGCAAGGGCTAGATCTTGCACCACCTCCTCACTCTTGCCACTGCTCATGTGGGGAGCGCCGCCAGACAGGAGTTGCTGAGGACCAAGCAGAGTTGCTAGCTGACCCCCTGCAAGGATGTGGGAATCTGCAGGTGCCCAGTGATGCTGATCTTCTGATAATGTGGCCCTGCAAATATGACACCTTAAATATAAAACAGGAAAAAAGATAGGAGATGTGTTACGGCACATGGGCTTTTGTAGGTTAGATCCTGCTTCATAGGATGAAATGGGCTCTTGTTCATGAACTTTAATGTGCTAGAAGAGAAGTATGTTTCATATTTAAGGAGGCACAAGCCTCCTTGCAGCACAATCCTATTCGTGTCTCCTAAGAAATAAGTCCAGTTTGGTTCAGTGGGAGTCCTTGCAGCCTCAGGTCTGTAGCAAACACAGGTATGTGCTTTCTGAACCTGGTGTCGCCCAGTTTTTATTGTACTCCAACTCCCAGCCTGCATGACCAGCAGACAGGAGATTGTTGTCATCAGTCTGTCTCGAGAGACAATGGAATGTGCCTCCAGGGGTGAAGCCAAACCGCTGTGTTAGCAGCACCCAAGTGACCTCTCCGGAGCACAAGCCTGGGCAGTGTATGGAAAGCTGGATTTGTTATTGGGGGGCAAGTTCAGCTGCTACCGAAGATGTGATATGAAGCGTTGCTGGTGCCTTACATTTGCAAAATCATATTGCAAATCTTGGCATGGCAGTGGCTATGGAATCTGGAGCAAGTCCAGCTTGCAGCACAGGAGACAAGGAGGGAATCATGTTCCCTTGTTCTGACGCTGACCCCATTACTGGATCACATGCTGCCTGTTGACATTGCACCACAGTCCACGAGATGGGGTGCCAGTTTCCAAAGCCCACAAACAGTTTTTTGCTATGGAGCCTCAATTAGCATTCATGACGCATTAGCAATTCCACAGATGTGTTCAGAGCACTTTCTGCAGTGGACCTCAAAAGTGGGGGAGCTGCAGCCGTGCTGGTGTTGCTGAGGTTAATGTGAGAAGCCTAAAACCAGGCTGGAAGGAGTCCAGGCTGTGGCTTCTTGTCTCATCCTGCATTGTCACAGCTCTCTTACTTAGCTTTGTGGTACCGGAAGGAGCATTGTGCATTGTAGGTTTTGTTATGTTTGCTAGGACTAGTAGTAATTGTGAATATTCTTTGCTCCAGGGATAGGGAAACTGTGGCCACCAAGGCGGAGCTGAACTGCACCTTTCCATCAGCCCCAGCCAGCCAGTATGAAACACCTGCAGGGCCACAGGTTCCCCATCACTGTTTTACTTCACTGGGTAGTCTGAACACATCATCCAGATTAAATACATACCTATATATACACACATATACAGTTGTACGCTGTTGAGGAACGGAATCCATTCTGGAAGTCCATTCGACTTCTGAAAATGTTTGAAAACCAAGGCGCGGCTTCCGATTGGCTGCAGGAGCTTCCTGCGCTCAATCGGAAACCATAGAAGCCACGTCAGACGTTTGGGTTCCAAAGAACGTTCGCAAACTGGAACACTCACTTCCAGGTTTGCGGCGATCGGGAGCCAAAACGTTCGAGCCGCAAGGCGTTCATCAACCAAGGTACATGTTTCAGTTGTACATGTTTCGGAGCATAGAACTTAACATGTGCATTTGTGTACTTTGAGAATTTTTTTGTAAAAAGCAACTAATAAATAATATTAAGCAAGACCAGATTTTATTTAGTTTGTTTTTTTAAAAAACTGGCCTGTCCTTTCATAGTTCCAAACAGTTCATTGGATTTCATTCCAGCATTCCAGACTGGTTTCACCTTTTGAGTGTGTTCGGAAGGCAGTGGTTTTGCTCCCTATTACGTTTAAGGTTCATGCACAATAAGCATTGTAGTTAATAGTTATGTGACTGAGGCAAGTTCCCCCCCGAAATAGATACTTTCTGCAATATGGGTTTACAGTGCAGTTACATTGGTAGGTACCCCTGCCCATACGGGCCAGTCGTGTCCGACTCTAGGGTTGTGCGCCCATCTCACTCAAGAGGCCGGGGGCCAGCGCTGTCCGGAGACACTTCCGGGTCACGTGGCCAGGGTGACATCGCTGCTCTGGCGAGCCAGAGCCACACACGGAAACGCCGTTTACCTTCTCGCTAGTAAGCGGTCCCTATTTATCTACTTGCACCCAGGGGTGCTTTTGAACTGCTAGGTTGGCAGGCGCTGGGACCGAGCAACGGGAGCGCACCCCGCCGCGGGGATTCGAACCGCCGACCTTTCGATCGGCAAGCCCTAGGCGCTGAGGCTTTTACCCACAGCACCACCCGCGTATTGAAAGACGTTAAATGCATTTTTTTCCCTGTTCAAGTGCAAGGACTTCTAGCTGTGCAGCAGAACTTCTCTTGTGTGCCCCTAACTTTGTTCTGCGGGTTCTCCCAACTCTCTGGAGCAGATTTGGGAGGGTGTCAGGCACACACAGGGAGAGAAGAGGGAGTTCTGTTGCACACATGGAATGAGTGCTTTGGATACGGCCTATTATGTCACACCTGCAGTGTAGTAATGTTAAACTTAATGATGGCCAGCTTTCCAATTATGAACAGTGACATGCATAATTGCTAGGCACTCACCAGTTGTCTCACTGATTTGTGCTTCTGCAGCCAAAATCCAAGGAATGAAAAATGCCGTTCCAAAGAATGACAAAAAGAGAAGAAAACAGCTGTCTGATGAGGTTGCCAAACTGGAGGCCGAGCTGGAACAGAAACACAAGGGGGAACTTAAGAAGCTAAAGGAGACACTAACTGAAGAGAATAAAGTACGTGTTGAGGGGCACTCCATTTTCAAAGCTCTGTTGGGATAATATCCACGGAAACTACCTTTGAACATTGCTTATTTCTAACTTGCTAAGGAATTGAGTTTCAATGCTGTGACACCATTTTTGTTTTTTCATTTTGGCCATGATAAATCTTATTTTGCCTTAAATGCACAGTGAGTGAATGATCGCTAAAAACATATCTGATTATTGGAAGCTGCACTGTATAAAAGTAGATGAGTTGGGTTACTTCTGCGAAGCGCGATCATATGCTCAGTAAATGTTTGTTGTTTATTTGCTGGCAAATGCTGATGTTGCACATTCTAGTTCCCAAGGCAAATCGATTTTGCTTGCTGGTGTCATCAAATGACAGCGGATGTCTAACTTGCTTTCCATAGTACCTGGGATACTGATTAGCTCTCTTTGTAGGTTGGGGAAGGATGTGGACTGCTATAATTTGACTGATAACAGCAGACAGGGAGAACGTAACCTAGCCAGCAGGCTGGATCCTCACCTCTCTCACCCTTAGCAGGCCAACTTTGACAGTGGACAAGGCTGCCCACCTGTCAATCATCTGGCATCGTTATGTCAGGTGGTAACTCCAAATCAGCTGATCAGTGTCAATAGCAAGCCCCACTGGCTGTCAAATAAGTTTGCTGTCAATAAGCCCTACTTACCAAGGAGCATTTGGGAGTGCCCTTTAAGCTCCAGATTGTTCCTCAGCAGCTGTTTCTTTGCCTGCCCTTCCTCTGATGTCACATATGATGTCAGGGGTTCACATGGCATGGGGTAGTAGTACCTTGCATTAGTACCTTGGGATGTTGGAATGGAAGGTGACTATTCTTCCTATACCAGACTTGCACAACACCGAGACTTCGTGCAATTTGTACCGGTTTTCTGCATAATCCCTCTTCCTGCAGCTTATCTAGCCTACAGTATGAGACAGGAACCACATATTGTGCAGGCTAACAACTCTTGGTTTGCACCATCCTTAATGTCTTAAGCCTTAGTTTGGAGTCTGAGTGATACTTCTGGTGTGGTACATAATTTGCTTGTTGGGGCCACCGGAGAATGAGTATTAAATAGGTTGGGTGAGAAACTGTGGTATGAATGGTATGAATTGTTAAGGAACTGAAACTCCAGGTGCATGCGCTATAACTTACCCTGAAAATTAGAGCGGCAAGTTCAAGAAACTAGTCACTACACATTTTACACAATTCTCATTTGTCATTTAGGAAGATGCTGCAGTTATAAATATTGCAAGACTGGAGCTTGAGGACATGGAACAGATTCAGCCTCCTAGAATAACAAAAGCACAGAAGAGGCGGGTAAGGTTCTTACGGATGTGAATATTGTCTTGATTAGACAGTGAGCAACATGCAGACCCAGGTGCTTCTGTGAGAGATCTGGTGTCCCCAGGGTGGCTCTGGGACCTGGTTTCAGCCCCGTGGCCCAGACAGAAGCAGTCACCAGCACAGATCAGGTAGAGAGGGTTTAGAGACCCCTTCATCTCATTGCATGTTATCCCGTTAAGTCTCTTCTGGTCCTTCAAGCCTCTTTCATGTATGCCCACAATTGGCTACAGCTAACTAACCCCATCTTTGGAACTGGATTCCAAGAAATGCTCATGGTGACCTTTCTGAAAGGCAAACGATATAACTGAAATCTCTGAATAAGTTTCAGTACTCCCCTTAACTTGTGCAACTTTATTGCTTTGCTTTTTGCACCGTTCTGTTAGTAGAACTGAGATGTGAATCATTGGCAACTGAGACCCCTTTTAATAAGCATATGATATTAGTTCATGATATGGACAAATGTGACGTCCCCGTGCATTTTACTGTTTTCAAACCACAGGATAAAAAAGCAGCCATGGAAAAAGAAAGAGAAGAAAGAATCGCGGAAGCAGAGATAGAAAATTTAACAGGAGCTAGGCACCTTGAAAGTCAAAAACTCGCCCATAGTTTAGCCACGAGGCAATTAGAAATTAAGCAGATCCCATCTGATGGCCACTGCATGTACAGAGCTATTGAAGATCAGCTCAAGGAGCAACAAAACTCCTGGACTGTTGCAACGCTTAGAAGTCAAACAGCAGAGTACATGAAAAGTCACGTGGATGACTTCCTACCATTTCTAACTAACCCAAATACAGGAGATCTGTACAGTCATGGTAAGTAAACTGCTTCTGCCACTGTGTGCATATTTCTGTCGTGAGTAGTGTCAGCTGTTACAGAGAAAATTGGTACCAAGTCAGTTTACCACGTATCAGTGGCACAGATTTAATTAAACTGTAAGGACCCCAACAGCTGCAACCAAATCTTACTTATGCTGTTCAGAAGTTAGTCTTTCTGTGTTTATTGCATGTTTCCTTTAGGTAAATATGTACTGGACGGCAAACTTGTGTGTGTGCGTGTGAGTGGTATAGACCAATTGCAACAAGATGTAAAGACATGACTTACTATTACTACCTATGGCAGGAGAGGGGAACTTTTCACCCTCCAGTTGTTGATGAACTACAGCTTCCATCAGCCCCAACAAGCATAGCCAATGGCCAGGGATGATGGGGGTTGAAATTCAGCAACTTCTGGAGGGCCAAAGGGTCCCACACCTGACTTGTGGCTCTAAGCACATCAGAGGGGCTGAGACTTTAAGAATATCTTAATGACTGTGACCTAAATCCAGTACAGGGTTAAGCTTGCTTAAACCCATTGAAACCAATGGACTTAAGCATGCTTAAAACTCTGCATTAGATTAAAGCTTTATTTGTTAAAGCTTTCCCCCACTAAACTGTCTCTGTCTAACCAAGGGAAACATCCCAAAGCAGAACCTCTGTGCAATCTAGGAGAAGCACAAACTATTACAGTAAACGTGTTTTTGGCAAATCTGTCCATACCTTTTATAATATTGACTTTGTCATTTCACAGAACACTGCTTGGTCCTTTGCTCGTTTCTTTCCTTTTATCTGACAGGGCGACATCTTTGCCTTCAGCCTGTTTCCTCTTTGCCTTGTGTATTACTATGCAAAGTTATGTTCTTCTGCATACTTTAATTGCCAACGTAAGCTTTCCTTTTTGGGCTTGCTCTGTTTTCCAACATTCAGATTAAAAATGGTGCACTTTCTCCCTCCAGAGGAATTTGAAAAATACTGCCATGATATAGCAAACACAGCTGCCTGGGGTGGCCAGTTGGAAGTAAGTATCATTCCCTGCTCTTTCCTAATATCTTAAATGCCAACGCTTGTTCGTTTTGAGTCTTTAGAATATTCCAAAATCTTCAAGAGAGGCTGGGAATCCTGTGACCCTTCCATTGTTTTTCTCAACTCCTGTCAGTCCCAGTCAGCATGGCCAACGGTCAGGAAAGATGGGAGTCCAGTAACAGTTTTCCCCACCCTACTTTTACAATAAAGAAATGGCTTCAGGTTTAGGTAATTCTTACTGCAGAGATAATCAAGAGCATTTCTGTTCTGTTTATATGGTAGAAGAACAGTTCTACTTTGTAAAAGGTTTACATTCATACCACATGCTATGCTGATTGTATCTGTCTAGCATACTGAGACCACTGTCATGTCAATATGAATTAGTAACCTAATTTTATTAAGATAATAAAAAGGGGAAAATCATACTTGCAGTGATTATTTTTTTAATATAAATGTCTAAAACAATATAGGTTTTGGAGCAAAATTATGTTGTTCAAAGAACTGATCAGAACACTTGCTTTTTTAAAAAAGTGCTTACATTTTGTTGTAAGCCGCTTAATGCTGTGTGCTACAAAGATAACTACAAATCTCATACATATTTTTTTAAAAAAAAATATCTAATTGTGCCTTGCAGCTAAGGGCTCTATCGCACATCTTGCAAACGCCGATTGAAGTTGTACAAATGGATTCACCACCTATAGTTGTCGGTGAGGAATACAGGAGAAAACCACTAATACTTGTGTAAGTAGATACTTTAAACACTGGGGCTCAAAGGAGTTCTGTGTTTGAAGAAGTATATAAGTGACTGAAAACATTGGTTGAAGTATGTATTTAAGGGTACCTTGGAGTAAGACCATTGAATTCAGTGAGACATATTATGGGTAAACAGTCATAGTAGCATCATGGGGAAGGGTCAACTAGCCGTCTGGAGCAGATTTCAGAGGGGGGAGCGGGGAGAGAGAGACGATAGCTGAAAATGGTTTTCTTCTCTGTTCTGCTATTGGAAGGCTTACCATCAGCAGAGAAACACCACTGGAAATAAAACAATTGGATGCATCTATGTGTGCATGCATTCTGTTCGTTTGAAAGACATCTTTGTAATTGCTATAACACCTGTTGTTTTTGCTTCTAGGTATATGAGACATGCATATGGATTAGGAGAACATTATAATTCTGTAAAACCTCTAATGGACACACCTACAGAAAATGAAAGCTAGTACAGGATTCAACAGAAGATATGATGAGTGCATCTTTGCACTTTATGCTGCTTATCTTTGGATAGGTTTTAAAATTCTGCTCGAGTTTTTTTACAAGGCAATGAGGGTTTGGGGATATATATCAGATTTGTTGTATGAACTGTTAATTCTAATTTAAATCATGTTTTAAACAAAATATTCCCCAAGGTGTTTGCAATGTAACTAATAAATTGTGTATTACAGATTCTCCCCCACTTGCATTCAATCCTCTCCTTTAGTAGCAAAAACAATGGTATATGTACCACAGCTATACAACCCTTCAACTATTATAAACAGCAGTCATTCAATAATTGCAACTAAAACATGATGGGGATATTTAACAATGTGCAATTGCTAAAATGCTTGGTGATACTATGAGATGGCTGCATGATGCTTCTTTAGGTCAAATATCTTTTAACCATTGTTGTGACTTTAAAAAAACACCTCTTGCTGAAATCTTCAGAGAACCTCCCTGCCCCTGCCCAGCTTAAATGGGGTTGCACATCCAAACGTAACTGCCTCAGAGGCTCAGTAACACATTCCTGGTTATAAGAAACAGCCCTATAATATTGAGTCAGACCGTTAGTCTACCTAGTTCATTTGTCCACACTGACTGGCAGTGGCCTTCCAGGTTTCAGACAGGACTCTTCCAGCCCTACCTAGAGACTGAATCTCGTACCTTTCCCCAGTCAAACAATGTGTTCTACTATCAAGCTATACCCCTTCCCCTTTTACATAGACTTTTTGAAGAACAAGTTTGGTTTGTTCTTTAATAGGATGGCTACTACTTTCTGCAGTCGCAGTAAAGGCAATATGGAATAAAAATGAATTTTGTTGCTGGTCCTGGTTTCCAATTCAAACAGAGCCCCTACACAATCACCTCTGGAGTGCATGGCATTCTTTCCAAACTTGGTTGTGAAGTGACTCTCCACGTTTTATTTAAAACATGCATATGGCTGTCCTGATTCCCAGAGCAGTAGCAGGTCAAATGCTGTCATATTTCAAGAATAGGTAGAACCAAATGCTTGCCATATAGAGATACTAATTCACACAAGCAGTACCTTCATATGAACTATGTCAGACAGAGAGCCATCACATGCCTAAATCAGCCCTACACTTGTAAGATATAAAAGCCCAAATCTTTGAAGTAGCATCTTCAATTAAAAACCGCTACTTACAGGGAGCGCTTCAGATGCAGCTGCCAGTTATAAAGCATCCCTGCAAATAATTAAACTTCTATACAGAACAATAAAGGATACTTGCATATTTAAAGCACTTAGCATCACTCAGTTGCATTTTTAATATTTCATATATGTACCGTTAAGAGAACGTTTTTCTTTTGTCTTCAGGGCTGTCACAATAGTAGTTGGAATTAAATATAGCTGTTTAAAATACTTGCAAATGAGAAGTTGGAATTTACTGTAGAGAAACATGGATCTGCTGTTGTCTTCCACTAAATCCACATAAGACAGCCTAATGTTTCTCTTGCTTAAGATAAATGAGGCAAAGATCTGGAAGTTTGTGGCAAATCAGCCTTCCACACCCCACCGTTTTGCATTTGTTCCCTTGTAACTGCCTTGGGCCTGTCTTATTTCCGCACCATTCTTTTGGTCTTTCATAAGTTCTGTGTTGTGTTCGGTCAGGAGTAGGTTCAACTTTGGATATAGATTTTTTATAGAAAAACAGAGTAAGAATTGATTTATACTTTCACTCCCAGTAGCAGCATTCTATTGCAGAGTGCCTATTGTTGATAGCAGCCAGAAAGGGTCTTCTACCCCATCAGTAACCATGGCTACTGCAGCAACAGCAAATAGAGGCTGGCAAGGGAAGAGCTTCCCCCAGAACCACACACCCCACAATGTTAGCCTGGGCTATTTCCAAAATACAAGTTAATGAAGCAGGGGAGGGGCTCTGAAGGTTTGCTCCCTGCTCTCTACAAATCACAGTAAAAGTTGCTGAGGCTGCTGGTGGGGGGAGATTTTATACATCTGTAAAACGGAATACATGTGCTGTTTTTAGGGATGCACCATTTCATCAGTTAAAAACTTTTAATTGAAAACGGGCCCTGATGATTATTCAGACAGATTAATAGATTTTTTTAAAAAAAAACCCCGCTGTACCACCATCCTAAAGCAGGTATCACTTCCCTCATTCATTCATATATATAAATATATACAAAGCCAGTTTTCCTGTGCTTGAGTTCTTGGGACTAAAGATTTTAAAAGAAATGCAAAACAAACTTTTGAAAAACATGGAGTTAGAAGAAATAGTGTTGTATGTGGAACTATTCCTGTAGTTTTGCATTAGCAGGTGCAGAAGGTTCAATCCTCTGCATCTCCAGACAGGTCTGGGAGAAAAATGTGTCTGAAACCAGGGGAAGACCCTGCCAGTCAGTGTAGACAGCAGTGAGCTAGATGGATGAAATGGTCCGACTCAGTAGGCAGCTTCCAATGTTCCTATGTCCCAGCCTCCCCTTCCTGGCCTCATCCTAGAGATAGATAATTTCTGCACTCCTGCATTTGTGTTTTGTTGTTATCCACCTACAAACAATGCTATTTCTTCTTGTCTTGTTCAGTTCCTACTGCGCCTTTTTATAAAGAGAAGCAGCCAAAAATCACGACTAGTCGCCCTTATCTCCTCCCCTCGCTGCCCCTGCTTCAACTTCTTATTTGCAGGGACCGGGCATCTGTCTGCAGCTTTCCTAACATTGCCGGACTACAGTTCCCATCACCCACTGCGGTCTCCATGCCACTCCCTTGCGCATGCGCGGTCTCCTCGCGGCCCCTCGTAACGTAGACGCCTGTTACCATGGCCGCGAGGCCTCAGGACAACGCGCCGCTTTCGCCGTTACCATGGCGACGGCGAGGCCTTGTTTACTCCCGCGGTTTCTACGGCGCCGCGGAGCTGACCGGGCCCGAGGGAGAGGAAACATGACGGCGGAGCTACTCCGGGCTCTGCGTGGTGGGCCAGGGACTCGCTGCCTGTCGCTGAAGGCGCGGGGGCTACGCCGCCTGCCGCGGGGGTTGGGGACGATGAAGGGCCTGGAGAGACTGAGCTTGCGGGACAACAGCCTGCGCCGGCTGCCTCAGGATATGAAGGCTCTGGGCCGGGTGAGGCGGCCCAGCAGATCCTGCGGTCGACTAAGAGGATTCTGCGCCATGGGGCTCCATCCCTCCATCTCTGGAACCACTAGGGTTGCCACCTTTCAGCCCCACCCCCCCAGCCCTGCTCCTGTGCTTTTTTGACAGCGCCTTTCCCACCGCGTTATTTAGCCTATGAACCTAGCATGAAAATAAAGTGGTAGTTTTCTTCCCTCAGCTGCTGGTAAAGAGACAGTGCAAGGTGTGGGGGGCATTTGGCAGGCTGGTCAGGACCTGTTCAAAAGCCATCCCTATAGGTCTAGGTTAAGGTTACCAGATTTTTTTCAGTGAATCCGGGGACACTTTTCAACTTCAGTAGATTCTGTATGGGGACTGATTTGTAAATCGGGGGACTGTCCCCGGGAAACAGGGACATCTGGTAACCGTAGTCTAGGTCCACGGTGGTTCCCAACCTTTTTTAGGCCATGCCCCACCTAAGCATCTCTAAAATCCTGACACCCCCCTCCCCGGTGACATATAATTCTTCTTATTCAAAAAGTGAACTCCTATTCACGTGGAGGAAGCCAAAAAGGCCATTAACTGTTAATAACTCATTCTTGAATTGCCCCCCTTAAAAATCAAATTGCCCCCCTGTAGACCCTGTTGAGAGCCACAGGTCTAGGATAAGCTGTCCAGGGCAATCATTACTACTGTACTCAGGTGGCTTGGGATCTCTGTTCTGCATTGCTCAGCAAAGATGGGGGTGGGGGTGAAATCTTCATTGGGGAAAAAATAGTACAAAACATCATCCTAGGGCAGGCATGTCCAACAGGTAGATCGTGATCTACTGGTAGATCATTGGACATCTGTGGTAGATCACCGGTAGATCACAGGCTCCCCCCACAGAACAACTTTGGCTCTGCTAAAAAAAAAAGCTGAACAACTTAGAGCTGAACCCCTAAAAATGGGGTTTCCCTCCTCCCTAAAAAAACTCAACAACTTTGAGCTGAACCCCCCCAAAACGGGGGTAGATCACTGACAGATTTTAATTCAGAAAGTAGATTGCAGCCTCTTGGGAGTTGGCCACCCCTGTCCTAGGGTTTCCAGTTGTGTTGTGGGCTTTTAAAACAAGAGGAACACGTGGTTCTTCTGTAAGTGAGATTGGGCTTGTTCCTTCCGAAAAACCTTTTTTTAGAGCATTTGGGAACTGTAGTGCAGCTTTCTTTGAACAATTCTGTGATTTGTCTTTGCGACAAAATTTTATGCCACTATCAAGTTTTAGATTTCTAATGGAAAGGTAAAGATGCTATAATCTTCATGGTTATAAATAGAGGATGCAAGTGTTCAAAGATAACACTTTCAGGCTCCATTGGTTTCAGTGACAGAGATTTAAGAGCTTTTTAAAAGCTCTGCTTTACCTTTAGAATCAATGGGGGTTAAGGGTGCACAGCGTTTAACTGGACAATGCCCTTAGTTTCTGGGTTATTTATCATATTAAATTAGGAGAGAACTGGGATCAAGTAGAAGGCATTGACTGAACAGCTGGATTGGGGGTGGAGGGAAGGGAATAGTTCTTTACATCTTTCAATCTAAGCCTTTATTTTTTATGGGTCATAAAAGTGGTTATGGAACTTTTTATGACGGACTGAAACTTGGCAGTAGTATAATTCAACCTGGGACTAATATGCACTTTTTAAAACAACATTTTAAAAATGTTCTGGGAAAACTCAAATTACTTCAAAATACTTTCACAAAGCCCCATGACTGTGGCACGAAAGTGTGTATTTTTCCACAATTGTAAAATATTTATACTTCATGCTGAAAGCAGTGTTGTTGAAAGTGCTGGCTATACCACAATACATAATTATTTTGAGTAGCACTGTGCCAGCCTCTCTTCTCGGAATGGGTGCAGTCCTATCATGCTTTCTCCTTTGGCATAATGGCATATGGTGGATTTGTATGGAGAAGTATTTGGTTCTCTTTGCTTCTTCCTAACTCATGTTTTGGAAGAGAAAGAGATACTTGTCTCATCATTTCAGGATGCAGTTTCTGATAGGATTCCAGGCCTACTGTTTAAAGAAGGAAAAGTTAAAATTCCTAGTGAGTGTATTCAAACTCTTGGGCACAACTAAAGCAAGTAACTTGGATGGATCAAACCTAGTTCAACCAGCTCTGTATAGCCTAACTAATTAAAATCACAGCATATTACAGACAGAAAGGAGAATTAGTGCAGAAAAGTGCTTACTGAGAAAATGGCAAAACCACATTCTGTAGCATAAGGTACATTGCAAAAGCACAGTGTGATCTGGTGAAATATGCTATTTTAAAAATAATATTGGATTTAGGGTATTTATTTTCTTAGTTTTCAAATAAGAAACTGATTATAATGGACTGAAACTGACTAGATTTCCTCATGTACAAACATGAGCTGTGACTGTTGTCATAAAAAAGAATGGAGATTTAGGATTCTAGAAGCCCAGCAATACTACAACAGGATGTTGTGTAGCATAGTAGTGTCTTAATAATATGTTTGTGAGTGTGTGTGTGTGTGTGTGTGTGTGTGTGTGTTTGTTTGAGGGGGTTTACACGGTGCTGAACATTATATTTGGAATTAGGTTCCAGTATTACTGGGTATGTTTTCAGCTTTAAGTTAGTATTTAATAGCATGCATTTAAGTAAATGCATTAAGTAAATTTAAGTAAATGCATTAAGTAAATTCGAAAGCACGCAGTGCAAGTAGATAAATAGGTACCGCTCCGGCGGGAAAGTAAAAGGCATTTCCATGCACTACTCTGGTTCGCCAGAAGCGGCTTTGTCATGCTGGCCACATGACCTGGAAGCTGTACGCCGGCTCCCTTGGCCAGTAAAGCGAGATGAGTGCCGCAACCCCAGAGTCGGTCACGACTGGACCTATTGGTCAGGGGTCCCTTTACCTTTACCTATTTAAGTAAATGAATACCATCTAGGCTCAGGCCATGCTTTGGGGCTTCCCATATGCATATGGTTGGCTGCTGTGAGAACAGGATGCTGGACTAATTGGACCATTGGTTGATCCAGCAGACTCTTCATATGTGCCTGATGTTTTGATGAAAGAAATGATGCAAGGCTGTTTAATTAAATATTTTATTATAGTTGAAGGTACTAAATTTGGGAAATAATAATTTTGAGGAGGTTCCAGAGCAGCTGAAATACCTCAAGTCTTTGCAGACTCTTCATTTGTTTAGAAACAAGATCACCAGAATATCACCCTTAATATTTGGTAAGCTCATATCACATCCTGCTCAAAATCATTTTATTGTGCAGTGTATATAATGTGACATGTAATATATTCTATTGTAGAAATTCTTCTCCATAAAAACTTACAGTTGATAAATCATGTTTCTGAATCTATGCTTGTTATCTCATAAACAAGCACCATTGTATTAAATGGGACTTACTTCCAGTTTTTAATTAAAGCGCTTTTACCCAACCCTTCAGCCAATGGAGGACCTACAGATATTCATAATATGACAGCCCCTCCTCTCCTCTTTTCATGTTGACAATCTGAAAGACAAGGCACAGCAGGAAAAGTCATTCAGAGGGGAAAGGATTGTAGCATCAGTGAATCAAATTGAATAAATCTGTGTATGAGCAAACCCTAATAGTTTTGGAGAAAATACACTCTTTTTAGGTGATGTATACACATAGTTGTAGAAGATACCATCTTAGAAAAAAACATTTATTCTTTTGAGATAAGGCAAATTTCTAAGATGGTGCCAGTCTTCTATGACACTTTTTAAGGAGTCTACGTTTAAATGTTTTTAATAATCTTATTAAACATTGTAACCCTAAATAGTCTCAGTTCCCCAAATGTATGGTGTTTGTAATTATTATAAATTAATATATATTAATATATATGTAACTGCATGGGGACGCGGGTGGCGCTGTGGGTAAAACCTCAGTGCCTAGGACTTGCCGATCGTATGGTCGGCGGTTTGAATCCCCGCGGCGGGGTGAGCTCCCATCTTTCGGTCCCAGCTCCTGCCCACCTAGCAGTTCGAAAGCACCCCTAAGTGCAAGTAGATAAATAGGTACCGCTTTATAGCGGGAAGGTAAACGGCGTTTCCGTGTGCTGCGCTGGTGCTGGCTCGCCAGAGCTGGCCACGTGACCCGGAAGTGTCTGCGGACAGCGCTGGCTCCCGGCCTCTTAAGTGAGATGAGCGCACAACCCTAGAGTCAGACATGACTGGCCCGTACGGGCAGGGGTACCTTTACCTTTAACTGCATGGGCAATCAGTGAGATTTAGGCTGCTTATGACATTGTAGCCAAGTCAACAAACCTGCTTTCTGTTCTCATTTTGTTCCCTTGCTGTCATTCTGTCCACACTGCCCTAGGAGTAATTTCCCTTTATTTAGGAGAACTTTCTTGCAAGTAACTGTATATAGAACTGGACTGTTATTGTTCCTGTTCCATACGGTGGATTATCCTATCATTGATTCCCATGACTCTGCCCTGTCACCTCCCTGAGGAGATACTTCCTTGATCTCCTTTGGCAACACTTCATATTCCCCTTGAAACCGTGTACTGTACTTACCTAGTAACCAAATGGAATGATCACCCATGTTACATTGTTGATCAATAAAAACACACACACTGTAATGACAAAAATGGAATGCAATGACATTAAAATGCATATTCAGGTCTATATAGATAATATATACTTTATCTTAAAACTGTCTTTACAGATGGATTGCAAAATTTAGTACTCCTCAATCTGAACAACAACCAACTTCGTTATCTTCCTCCAGAGATACAAAGGTAACTACTATAATTTTGAAGTTTTACCTAAGCTGCCTATACCATTATTTGTTAGTATGAGACATAGCATTTGCCCATGTTTATCTGGGCAGAAGGTGTGATATATTCCTTAATACTGAATGGCAAAAACAATAAAATATAGCAAGTTATATGCCTTATTTTGGTTCCACACTTCACACTTTTTGGACAATAGCAGCAGAAAAAATAAAATAACACCAGTGCCCTCCCCAGTCATCCATTATACTTTTCTTTTGTTTGAGACTCACTAGCTGTACTAAAAATTGCTTCTGTTCTGTCCACGTTAGTGTTACATCAGGTAGACCCAAGTTCTCATTTAGTCACATTAGGATTGCAAAAAGGCTCCTATAGAAATCTTAAGCTAGATATTTAAACATAATGTTTTGTAGTATTGTACGCTTCATAGGGTTTAGGTTCCATCCCTGTCAGCAGCCATTCCTTTATTATTATATATTTATTTATACCCCACTTGTTTCCTTGATGGGAATCAAGGCAGCTTACAAATAAAAACAAGAATCACTAAAAATATATAGAAAAACAACAATAATTAAAAACAATTAAACATTTAAATAGAAATAAAACCATATACAGTACATATATAAAATTTGTTTTAAACATACAAATAATTACAGCACCAGCCCTTTCATTCAAAACAGTCAATTCCCAAAAGCCTGTTCAAAGTAGGTCTTCACCTGCTGGCAGAAGGACAACATTGAGAAGGCCCTTTCCCAAGTCCCCATTCCTTGAAACAATGCCAGGCCTACTTGCTCTTTTGATGATAAACAGTTACTTATTTGGCTGCTACATCTTCAGTTGATTGTGCTTAGTTACAGGGTTAACTCTTACCTATGAGAAATAGGTTAACTCTTACCTATGAGAAACATAACTCTGACCTATGAATTAAAAACTACCACATTAATTTTGAGTTTTAGTGCTTTTTTCTATACCTTTATTGGCAGTAAGGTGATTGAGGTACATTCACTTGATAGACTAATTAACAACTTTTAATCCTGTTTTGTATTAAAATCTATCTAGATGCAGATGTGTAGACCAACATTCACTGGTAAACATACAAAAGAAAAATAGAGTTGGAGGCTTGGAATTCTTTGTTCCTTTCATAGGCTTGAACATCTTGAATGCTTGAGTTTAGACAATAACCAGCTGCAAAAAATTCCCAAAGAATTCTGTTATCTCCGAAAGTTGTGTGAACTCCATTTGTTCAACAATTCCATCACTGCGCTCCCTGAAGAGATTAAATACCTGAGAAAACTCAAGATCTTGATTTTGGCAAGAAATCAAATAGAAGAACTTCCTGATGTGAGTAGTGGTGTGCTTTGAAAACTGTCTTCTTGAGACCAATACAAAAGTCATAAGCAGTTTGTACAGGGATTAAAAATAATAAAAAAATTAACCACCTTGTGTTGTGCAGACGGTTTATAGCCAGTTAGCACATCATGGTAAGCCATAGTTAATGGTTTACTGTGTGTGCACCTTAGCTGATTTGCTCTTTCCTGCTCACACTGGGAAGAAGCAAGCCACAATCCCTGACTTAACATTACATCTGAACCAGTGATCATGCTTTATTTCACTCCCAGCAAACAACAGTCAGTAAACCAAGAACCACCCGTGCCTATAACTACTACTACTACTGCTGCTGCTGCTACTAAGAGTAGAATTTAGTTAGCTACAACCTAGAATCTGTTATGTGTTGCTAAACTAAGAAGGTGGAGGGAATTCATATAAGCACATTATTGATATTCACCATATGGGAAATGCTCAGCCCTGAAAATACCCTAACATTACAATATATCAAGAATTACTATGGGTGGATTAAAGGAAAATACATTTTGCTTTGGATGGAACCTCACCTTGCCTTTCTGCTTTGCTGCCTGCTATGCCCAGAATTGCTTTCCAAAATATCACTGTGATATTGTGTTTCTCTTCCTTTAAATCCCTCCTTTTCTTTGAAGCCTTTAGCAGAACCACCTAGTTACCATTCACTACTGAAACTAAGGGCTTGTCCACACTTCCTCTTGTCCCGCTGCTTTCCCCTGGGGAAAACTGCTCTTTAGCGCTCAGTCAGAGCAAATGGCAATTTGGGTTTTCCCTGGTTTGCTATTTCTTCCAGTCTAAGCGGGTTTTCTCTTGGAAAGGAGTGGGGCAAGGGGAAAACCACCCGGACCCATGCCTAGTAACCACGAGTCAAGCAGAAAACTGCTTGGACCCATCCTTTCCAGGCATGGCATAAGCAGAAGTGTGAATAAGCCCTCTGCCTAAGTAAGTGCAAATAACCTACATACATATTCTTTCCCTATCTGTCTCACCTCTATCATCTGTGTCATCTTTTGTTACCTTCTGTATCAATTTTCAATTTGTAAATATACCCCCAGAGAGGTAAATATTCTAAATTGTTTTAATACCAACTAAAATCTAGTCCCTCTTAGAATACATTTTCAGCTTTTCCTATATGGTTTTTATTCTCCCACTTCTGACAACTGTTTTATTTTTGTCCTTTCACTTCTGATTTCCGAGTCAATATAATTTACTTTAATGTTGCTAAGGCTCCTTTGGCTTTTACTAAATTTATCGGTTTTCACTAGGGACTTTGCAAATTGAAGAGGCTTAGAGTTCTAGATGTAGCAGGAAACAATATCCAGATCTTCCCAACAGCAGTAAGTAGGACTATTAATAGATCTCTTCAGTGGAATAATCTGTACATTATGAAAATTAGTAAAATGAATTTCAGAAACATGAAGCAGGAATGTGTTTTTAGTAATATGCTTGTATTAGTTATAAAAATGTACCTGATTTGGATTCTTGTTTATGTGGATTCTTCCTGAACTATGCTGGGTAGTTGAGGTTCACCCCAAATTAGCAGGACCTCTACTCAGTTTAGGGGAATTCTTCCTTCTGCCACCAACCTTTTGTGCCCCATCCCACCTTGTTCAGAAGGGCCCCCCAACCTACTGGAGAGGCTTTGTGGGTGACACAGGTAGTGCAGGAGGGGGCAGGGAGGAAGGGAAAATGAAGGGCCAGAAAACTTTCATTCCATGACCATCTTTAACTTACCTTAAGATCCATACCAGCAAGAATAGTCAGAAAATACTGGGGTGCAGCTGGTTAACAACCGTATAATATGGATACACAATAAAAAGTGATTGAGCAAAGGGTGGCAATTCTAGTAACTGGAGCAGCAGTCAGGAAAGTTGCCCAATGTGAAGGGCAGTATGCCTACAGCTCTCTGGACCCCAACCCTACCCAGTATATAGAAATGCTTACAGAGGATGTTTGAATGCATGCTGCAATAATATCAGCAAACACCTGAGGGCAGCACTACATAATGTCACACTGCTCAACTCAGTTTCTTACTAATACAGAAAAGTTCCCCCGCAGAAAATAATTTTCTTGAATATTTGAATGTTCAGTCTTTGCATACGGTTTCACAATATTCCAGTTTATCTGACCAACAGCTTTTAACCACAAAGTGATTTCCTACTGCAGGTACATTACATGGCAAACTTTTTTTCTTTTTCTTTTTCACAACTACAACTATGTTTGCTGCTGAAGCATGGACAGCATCCCCTTGTGTTCATGTGTGTTTCATATATTTGTGTACCTGAATATATCACGGCATTGTTGCAGAAAGCACTCGTTTGATACCAGCATTAAATGTATTTGATGTGTAATGCAAATAGCTACCATTAGACATTAATGACTCAGCTTCCCTACCAAAAATGACCCTAATATGAGGTAGTGTGTGGTAGCTGCCTAAGGCAAGAGATAATAGGTTCCATTAAATTTTAGTAGAGTGGAAGGCAGAGGTCTGGCCAATGGGGCACAATCTAGGAAAGGGCTTTCTAAGCAACATCAAGATGAACAGGAATGTGAACTAGTACTCTGCAACATCCATTCTTTTCAGCTAGGCTTATACAGGAGAACCTTCTGTTATTTAGTGTGAAGAAGCGGGCACCATTTGTGTTTCCTGCTTTGGTCCAGGCCTGTTTCTTTACGTTAGCAAACTCTACCCTGTTGTGTGAAGCAGTGAATTCAACATATCATGCTGTACTATATGTACTATTCCCGGTGGAAATAGAAGAGTAGCATGGTGCAAGTCATGCGCAATTTCAGGGGTGTCGAGGCAAACTGAGTCATTCATAATGGAACTATTAAAAACGATACTGCTAGCAAAATAGAAAATACATCTTTAACTAGCAACAAACAACTACTGAAGAAGACCAGAAACCATCTGTAAGCATAAGAAAACCCGTATTTAGGAATTCAGTTTCTGAAACTTGTTTGGAGATACCCATCTATGAATTCAAGTAATCAACTTCAAATTCAAGATATACCATTTAAATATAAAGTTTGACTAGGTATGATATGTTAGCAGTACTTTTCTAAAGGGTTATTTTTATGGTATTTGCTTTATCTACTTCTTTTGATGAGTTTATCATTCATAATGGAAGCCACTATCCTTCCACTTGTTAGAAGTGGCTTTCTAGTCTTCCACCTGACATCGGTGATGGACACAATAAATTCATCTCTTCCATTTGAGAGCATAGTAGAAAATACTAGTGTTCTCATATGCATACATTATACTTTTACATGTGCAAAGGCCCTTTTCTGGATTATTTTGGCTGTACTTTAAAAAATTTCAGAAGGAAAATATTCAAAAAATTATGAAACTCCAAACAAGCATGTTATCAAACCAAATAGATTTTGGAACTAGAACGCCTTCTTGCACCTATCATTTTACATGTACTAGAATTATGTAAATTAAAAGGAACGAAAGGTTGCAAGTATTCTGTAATGTAAACAGTGCGTATATTGGCATAAAAATATGGCTCTTTTGAACTATAAAACTCACCTAATGGGGTGGGGGGAATGTAAAGTTTGTCTGTGAGCCAATTTGTATTTGGGCAGAAATAAAGGATTCATTTTTTAAAAGGATATTTGCAGCCAAACAGACCTAGATTTAGAAAAGAATTGAGTATTTCTCTCAATGGAAAAAGAATTGGCACTATCCACACACAGCTGAGTACATCTAACTTTTGAAAGGTGGTCTTGAGACTCTAATGTGTGCATTAAGATGCAGTTAGCCCCTAAGTCAGTTTAAGAGGCAGAGTTAAGCACTTCAATATTCTAGCATTTAAATAAGGGATTTGAAAGTGTTGAACATGTCAGTTTTATGGATATTTGCTCTTAAGTAACATTTTTTTGAGTTCAATGCAACTTCCTTCTCCCAAGTAAGTATGCGTAGAAAAATTCCTTAGAACCATGTCAGTGCTGTTTAATTTTGTTACTTTAAAAAATATTCAGAGAGTTCTTATCACACAACTGCCCAGATTGAAGAATTGTGCTTGTTGCAACAGTTAACTGCCATTTATGCTTTGCTGAAAATGCAAACAAATACCTAGCCTTCTATATCCTGCTGAGCCTTTTAAAGGATTGTTGGTATCAACCTAAATTTAAGCACTTTTAAGTCCCACTGTTTTCAGTGTTAGCATATTAAAAAACTTTTCCATTGAAATCAATGGGCTTTAAGAGTTTTTACTTTGGCTGGATTAATAAATATCTGCTAAATTCATTGTCATGAACAGCTAGTAGTCATTTTTTATGTGGAACCTGTGCTAGCTATAGAACTCAAGAGTTCCAAACTTACTGATCTGTTCTTCACTATATTTTATGAGAATGAAATCATCTTTTGACGTTTCTTGTAAAGGAGATTTTGGATTACACCTCAGAGATTCTGTCATAGTTATAATTTGAAAAAAAAAGCTGTAAGAAAGTGATATATTTTTATGGTGATTGCTACAAACTATGTGACCCAGAATGCAATTGCCTATTCACTCATCTTGCCCTGGAGGTATGAACTTTTTAATGTCACAAAATCTCAAGCTTTCATTTGTGGAAAGACAATAAAAGGTTTTACAGATATACCAGCTGCACAGAATTCTCTCTCTGTGTTTATACGTTTAATACAGGTGTTCTCAGTAAGTCAAGGTCTTCTAGCTTTGCTTACATTGAGTAGTTGCTTATATAATATCAGCAGAATGGTTATCTATCGATTTACCTATCTTTGTATGCTCTATCTAATAAAACATTAGAGTTAGATAAGCTTAGGTTGTTTCATGAAACCACATAGTATCAAATTAAGCTAAATGCAATATTATTAAGCAAATTTCTATTATGCACTTCCTCTCAAAGGAGCCCACTTAATATTTGCTTATGTAGCATATGAACTTGTGATTTAAAATAATTTTTACTGATTTGTCAGTGGGAAGTATTCATAGACCAGAATGTGTATAAGAGGAATAGTAATCATTACAGAAGTAACAAAGAATCAGTACCATTTATTTCAAGATGGTTTGTAAATTACTTAGAGAAATTTCATGAAACCATAAAGAAAAAATACATTCTTGGATGGTTTTCCAGCAAACAGCACAGTGTGTCAGGTCCCTTTGGTAGCTCTAGAAATCAAGTGTATTGTTACACTCAGCTTGTTACACAGTTGACAGTGGGGATGGCCTAACTATGAATAATTTCTTCCAGATCCATTTGAATAGCTTTTTGTCCCTGGTCTAGTTTTATGGTAAACCCATTGCACATAATGGACTGCTGGAAAGTCCTGTTGCCAAAGTCACCATGCCCTGTACAGTCTGTCCTGCCAAAGGGCTGGAAAATGGGTGGTGGCGTTGTCTTGTTCTGTGGTAAGGTGAGGGTCAGGCTAGGTGCAGAACAACACAATGCTAAGTAGGCTCAGGTGGGATGCAAGCTGAGGTGAGGCAAGGCTCAGTCTGAAAGCAGAGGAAGGCAAGGTGAAGTTCAGGCTGGATGTGAATCTCAGACTGTGTTATAGGATACCGCTTCAGCAACAAAACCAACTGGTAGCAGCTACATCCCAGTTGTTAGCCCTGTCTGTACAGCAGAGCTTTCCAAACTTTCCCCTGTTGGTGACACACTTTTTAGACATGCATCATTTTGCAACACAGTATTCAGGTTTACTAGCAAACCAGAGGTTAAACTAACCCCTTTCCAGCCCTGGGAGGGGCATGGGGAGCAGTCATATGACACACCTACACGCTGCAGCCGACATTAACATGTCATGACACACATTTTGGAAAGCTCTGCTGTAGAGGAAGGTACTTCTTCAGTTGAAGGGTGCCACCTGCTATAGTAATGTCCTGCTGCAATTAAGCCTTTGGTCTCTCTGGGACTTCAGCAATGGAGTCCTCTGAGGACAGCAGTGCTTAATTTTTGGACTGGAGGGGCACCAGCTGCAGACTTTGATTAGACCCCTCTAGTGCTTACTTTTTTTTTTTTTAAAGATGCAAGTTTAAACAATGAATTGAACATGAAATAGTTTGGCCCTGATTTAGTTCACAGGGACTTTCTTCCAAATCAGTATGCCTATTTTTGCAACTGCAATCAAAGTCTAATACTAAAGCAGCCAGCAGTATCAACATGCCAAGCTGGAGATCTCATGGGGTAGATGCTCCTGCCTGACCTCGCTTTAGAATAAGGGTGGCTAACCTGTGACCTGAATTTGATCTGCCAAGCTACAGGAAGTTGCCTGCAACTTTTATCTGATCAGGAGATAAAACACCCTGCCTTCTCATTGGAAATGACATTTGGTAAACATTTTGTTGAAAGTATTGATGTTTCCTGTATTTCTTGTGTTGTTTAAACAGATGGAAGAACTTGAACTGGAGGAACTTTATTGTGAAAGTAATCCATTGCTTCAGAAACATCCAGTTAGTGCCATACAAGAGGAGGACATTTTGACTCTTAAGGTTACTGGAGAAAACTTTTCAAAATTATAGATAACAATGGACTAACTTAAGTCCACAGATTTTAGTGGGTCATCTCTGGGTATGACTTAGTTGAATACCACCCTATAGTTTAAAAATGACTTTTTCAGATTTCAGAGTAATGAAATCCTTGTTATTCAAAGCATTCTATATAAGCATTCTGTATTCCAAGATAAAGTTTTACTTACTAAAAATGATCCTTAGTCTGGTGGGCAGAGTTTGAAATTAAGTTAATTAAAGTTTCAGGATTCTGATAAATTGTAGTGATTTCTTGGAAAATAATAATACCGGTAGATGCTATGGTGGAAGCCAATCACTTTCCAACAGTATTTAAGTACAGAGGAAAAAAAGTTAATAGTAGCTGTTTCTACCCGTTCCTTTTAAAGAGCACAAACACTGAATGAACACTGTTTCTGCCCCGTCCTTTTAAAGAGCAAAATGTTAGTGAAACCTATGCAACTCTCCAAAGATTGAAAAATGATGAAATACTTGGGGAAGATATTTAAAATCACATACAAGAGCACAGTTCTATATAACAGCCACAAAAAAGCACTGAAAGGCACAGGACTGTAACAACAGTATATTAATGAGAAGAAGTTTTCAGTAAGGTAGACAATGTGTATATTTCATGAAGACTTACAAAGAACCATATAGTACAAAAGTAATTGTTACTGCATTGAATGATGCTCTAAGCAGCTGAAAGCAGACCAGCTTCCTGATAAGGTCTGGTTTTGACTCTTCCCCAGATGATAGCACCTCAAAAACATTTCAAGGCCCTGAGTGTGGCGAGTATTGGGACAATGTCTTAGCTTAATGCCTAGCCATGTGTCTTGGAGCTCTACTGTGAACTTCTGAACTAACCTGTAGTCTGATATGTGTTTGGGCGTTGTAGTGAATTTTGGAATAAAGCCTTTAACAATAACCAAGCTGAGAATTTGAGCACCACATCCACAAGTGGGTCTGTGAAAAAATGTTTCTGTGAAAGGCTGCAAATGTACTTTATGGCTATGTATATTTTGTGGCTTCAGCAAACTGCATCTCAATTGCTATAAATAAATTTGCTTTTCTCTTACAGTGAGCCATTTTATATTCCCATAGGATTCTATGGCTACTCTTTTTGGTTCTGTTTGAGTTAATGATTTTGCAATGAGTAATAACTTAAAAGCTAACTTGGTTTTTTAAAGACCTTAACACAAATCTAAATTTTAAAGAAAAAACAGAAATTATTTCCAAATTCTATAAAATTAACCTCCTTGGGGTGGGGCCTGCATATATCTTTTTGCAAAGAGCTCAGCGAATCATTCATAATTACAAAATAAGTATTTTTTGCTGGAAAAAAAGCAGAATGGAGCAATCTGAGCATTTTCAGGACATCTTTGACAAAAAGGATTAGCTATTTCAGTATTAATTTGAGGATAGAATTCTCGCTCAAATTGTAAAATAACAGATTAATTTGGAAGCTTTAAAATTGATTGCATCTTGTAAATAGTTATACAAATAGCACTGAATTCTTTAACTGGCTGTCTGTGGGTAGAAAAGTCTAGCATGCTTCGTGAAATCAATAAGCACTCTGTCAGGAAAAAGGAACATGTTCAGATAGGAATACAGGGAGCTACCATCTAGCTCAGTATTGTCCACACTGGCTGGCAGCAGCTCCCTCCCTCCAAGTTCCATCAACAGACAATGATAGAAAAACGTCCTTCCTGGAGCTAGATTTGAGTGTGGCACCTGATCTATCCTTTACAATAAATTCACAGTGCCTCATGGTTACCGCACGTCTGGGGATAGAGAGAACAACTCTTTTACCCCTATCAGGCAGAGCCTTTTGCAAACAGAGCTGTGCAACTTGGGGTAAAAGGCTACAAAGCCCATCTGGATAAGAGATTATTAAAATATGGAGCCATATGCTCACAGAGTCTCCTGCTAAGTGTCCGGGGTTAAAAGCATTCACTTTGAGGTTCTCTTGCAAGTCTTTTGAATAATATAAGCTATTCTGTCTTTTTAATCATACAGGAACTAACAGCAAGATTTATTCTTGATCAACTGGAAAAGAAAAACTTTAATTTACATAGGGCGCTAAAGCAGAACTTAAATGCACAGAAGATGCTTGCCCATAAACAAGAATGTGCTCAGTGCAGACGTGGCTTTCTGGGCATGTGGCTAGAATGTGTACAGTTCGTGGATATAAGACAGGTAATTTTTCCTGAATCATGTATTATTTAAAGCTGGATTCATTGCATATCCAGACTTTTGCTCGCTTCTGCTTCGGCATGTTTTCCACAAGCACCTTCAAAATCTATTGTTTCTTTTTTGCACGCGTGCATTAAAAATTATTGAGTCCCAGTTATAAGGAGAATATTACTGGTTCAGCATTTGGTTTCCATCAGTGGCCAACCATCTCCTATCTAAACTATTTCAGCTTTCTTTGTTTTTTAATACCACTTCTGCTGTTATTTATTCATTCACTTATCTCATCTGTAATCTCGTGTTTTCTTTGACTGAGTTCCATTTGTTTATGTAATTTGTATCCCACCCTTCCTTCAGAGACACATTTCAGCCTCACAAACTCATGACAGTGGCCCCTGAACCTGATCTGGCAATTAGGTGAGACCTAGGAGGTCACCTAGGCAGGGTCAGTGGCCAGTTTAAATGTGCCACGCAGAACCTGAGGGTTACTTTTCTCATGCAGCACCCTTCTGCTACATCTCAAACCAAGATTTGTCATTCCAGGTGTTATACCAAAGCAGCTGCAAATAATCGGTTCTTGGTTTGGTGGCTACTCAGAAACCCTGGTTTGTCTGGTGGCATTGTTTTAGATATCATAAAAACCACAGGTCTGAACCATCTATGGCTGTTACCATAGGGTATAAAACTCAGTACCTCCTCTTGTGCACATGCAAATGTCAGTAGAAAGATGTCGCCTTATATGTGAACCATAACTTGATAGCGCCCGCTGGCAGTTCCACTACCATGGTGAGAGGGTCACTAGGGATAGGACACACAGATTACGCCGCCCCCCCCCAAGACTGCTAGAATTAATCTCTGGACTAAGGGAGGACATAAGATCATGGAAGCTCAGAAAGAATCTCTACATAAAATATTATGTTTCATAATAGAATCAATATTTCTCCTGGGTAAGGTCTCTGAAAGGACACTGCATGATGCCCTTTCTTGAGGCTTGTGCTGAAGTGGCAAATCTGACACTGTTTCCTAACACCTCATCAACAGGGTATAACATCTTGATTTTCAGTTTCACCGTCCTGCTCCTCCAATTACTAATTTTGAATGCCATCCAGTAAATTAGCTTTCCCTTGACTCCTGCTGGCCCATTTCCCCACCAGATTACATAGCGCTGGATTGTTCTTCGCAGATGTAAAATTCCTGCTGCCTTTCTATTTAGAGATAAATGTGCGAGGGCAACTATAGCTCTGACACAAATGTTATTAATTTTAAACATCATTTCAGCCAGCTCTTTGTTGTTCATTTTGTCTGAGCAAATCTGAATGTAAGGGTTGACTGTGTTGTGTCAGAGAGGTTCATGAGGACCCCTACATCGCTACAATTTATAAAAATGAATATGCTCTGTAAAACACGCTAACAGTTATGCTGTTATATTTTCCCCTTTCTTTTTAAAAGCGAATGAAGACTAGCAGAAACTTGGAGCTCTTACCTGTCAAGGCACTTCTGTGCTCATACAAATGCTTTAATCAGAGCGGCCATGAACTCTTTGGGATTGCTGTACCCTAGAGCAAGCAATAAACCCAGGATCTCACCCAGCTGGCAAGTTGCAACTATTTGTGACACTCTTAAGAACGGAAACAGAACATAGCATTTTGTGCTATATCCATATTCAATGTGAAATACACAGTTGTGTTGGAACAATGGTGGCAGAGAAGTGATTTAGTGGTGGGCAGGAATTATTTCCTACAGCTGTACAGTTGGTGTGTTTTGGCAGCCTTGACTCTCCTTCTGAAAATGGATGAAGTTAATGGCATTGTTTAACAGTGAGGTAAAAGTTTTATAATGTAAACTCTAACTAGCCTAGGTTACTGTGGTTTCTTTTGGCTTCTCTGTTATGATCCATGCACCTTAATCTGAAATTCTGATAAGTGTTTCTCCCCCCCTGAAGATTTAGGGTCAGACCTTAAAACTGCAAAAGAACACATTTAACGTGTGTCCAGTGATTACGTAGTGCTTGATTTCCATTATAAATCCTGTTTTCTAGAAGTTTATAACTTGGCTTTAACATTTGGCATGCATAATTTTCAACACAGAAGAAAATGTGTTGGAGCGTTTCTAAAAAGAAAGGGAATTGGTACATATTAAGAAGGATTTCTTTGCTCATAGGAACTTTGATTATAAGAAAGCTGTGTATCCTGGCAACCTTTGGAAAAAAGAACATTCCATGGAGAAGCAAGCGGTTTGATAGGACGTTCACATGCTTGCTTGCTTTTCCACTTTTATTTCTTTGCATGTTTTATCTTCAGTGTTTCCAGTGCCATTTTACTAGAAAACTCGCCTTGTTCTCTTATAATGGCAAAGGTGCCCACCTGAGAGGTGCCGGAACTGAAAAAAGGTATTTCTATGCTGCAATTCCTCCTGGTTTGCAATTTGCATTCTCATCTCATGTAATTAATTGCAGTGCTACAGAAAACAGGGCTGTTTCTTAAACTTGATCCTAAATTTAAGCATGTGGATTGACTTTACCGTATGGATTGACTTTACCGTTTACATACAGAGATCATTCGTGTTCTGATCTAAACAAAGAAAGATGTATCTAAATTTGAAATAGTAAGTAGAACCATGTACTTCCCTAAATTGCAGATATTTTGTATACGACTGCCCCCCCCCTTTTTAAAGAGAAAGCATTCTCTGTAACACAGTTACTTGGAAATCAAGCGAAACTCAAATGAGTTCCTAGAATGAAACTAGTGACCACATTCAAGACAGCATTCAGCATTTCAGGTGTAAACCCCAGCTTAGCACACCGCTCATTTTCAAGAAAGCTGTAAAAATGTGTTTTCTGTCTTGAAAATTGAGACATCAGAATGAAAGCTGATGTCAGCATCTAGAATACTGTTCAGTTTTTCAAGTACAGGCCCCGGCTTGCACCCCGCCTCCCTTGACAAAGGTCAAGGGTGTGCAAAATAGATTAGAATCAGCAGGGCTTTTTTCAGCTGGAACTTGCCAGTTCCGGCACCTCTCAGGTGGGCAACATTGCCATTATAAGAGATGTTCTCTTTTTCTAGAAAAATAGCACTGAAACAGATGTCTGAAGTGGAGACTCTCAAACACAGTTCTTCACTAGTGCATAATGATTTCAAAATGTAATTGCATTTGTCAAGTGATAGTTACATAGAAACAGCACTTCTTAGGCAGTATGTTTTAGCTTACAATATGGGGAAGAATAAAGACCCTGTTTAAAATATTTATTGGTACATGGTATTATATGAAAACACATCTGATACTTGCTTTTTCTGAACACAGTTGTAGTGAGCAAAAGGATTCAAAAAGGTCTATTGATTCAACTGTCAAATAAATAGTACTCTTTAGTAAAAGCAATGTGACCAAAAAGGCATTTGACGTTTTATTCAAGTGGAAAAACTCTTCAGATTTATCCTAAGGATGAATGAATGGTTGAAATCAGTGGTGCTTTAGTTGCAATACATTTATCTCATTGATTGCCGCATCACTTGAGTACAGGTATCGGATTCAGAGTTAGTTAGCTTGAAAAGGTATCTGAAGGAACCCCAGCCCTAGAAGCAAGTGTCTACATTTTGCAACTTGCCATAATATTTTGTTCCACAAAGAAGATGCCTGTGCCAAATACTTTTCTGGCTTATCCTTGCTGAGTTACCATGAAAGCTCATGACATCCTTTTCAGTTACAATAGGGAGCAGTGCTTGTGTTTTTTTAATCCACCCTTTTGCAACAGACCAGAAACAACTTGAGAAGAACTTTCACATTTGTTTACATTTACTTGAGTTTTTCAGTGGCTCTCTTACGTGATCATTCTTATCGGAAACTAAATTAGCGTAGCATAAAATGCAACAAATATATTATCCAAGCATTTACAAAGAAAATGAAATACTGTTATGAGATATCACTAGAAAATGACTCTTTTCTTGTCCAGGCTTAATTCTTTCATGGGTCAATTTTATTTTTATGAAAAATTAAATATTTGGCAGCTTGACTCTGTGTATTCAAAGTTACAGAACATACTGGATTACTTTCATTCCTAATGCAATGAGAGAAACAACAACTGCAGTGGCAGTGAGAGTGCTGTTTTCAAAGTACTGAACAAGTGTTGTTGAAGTAAAGGTGCCTTCCCCCTAAAGGACTGGAAGACTTGGAAGAAATAATTCACAAGCAGCTGTCATTGGTATGGCCTAGTATAAGGATCTGAGATACAACACAATAATTTTGTATTTGCTTAAGATATGGTTGAATCCTCTATGCAGAAGTTGTGTTTGGTCATAATATAAGGTTTATAAGATACACACGAACTGCTTTCAGTGGTTTGCCATAAAGAACTTCCTCAGATAACTGTGTTAATAGGAAAGAGCTGTAGACATTATTTGGACTACATAAGCTATTTTGCAGCACAATCCTAAATGTCCCTACTCAGAACTAAGTTTTTGTGAATTCAGTCGCACTTACAGATAAGTAAGAATAGGACTGCAGCTCTACTGACGTAAATGTTCATCTTTTGGACCTCCTATCATGGGCTTCTCTCAGACCTTTTACTTGTTGAGCATGAAGGATGAAGACAGTTTCTGAGCATATCTGAATCCATTTAGAAGTTTCTGTACAAGCAGATTTGTGACAAGCAAACTTCCTGATTACACAGAGGCTTCTAAGTGCGTTCAGTCAAATGCATGAGAATCTGAGGGTCCTGCACAAGCCTGCATTAAACAAAATAAGCACATGTTTAGGGCATAAAGAGAAGGGGGACACACAGGAATTTTCAATTGTTGGATTCACCATGGTCCATATGGTGCAGCTGAACAAAAAAAGCCATTATTTATACAAATATACAAAAATAAACATTATTTTCCATCTTACTGAATGTTTTGTTTCATTTCAAAAAATAAAGTTTCATTTTATGGTTTATTATTGTTTATTTTCCAAATTAGATATATATGGGGGCACCAAAATCTTTTAAGTGCTTAGGGCCTCTGAAGGTCTTAATCCAGCCCTGATGCCCCCTACACATTTTTAACTTTTTAATCTTCAGGCAAATGTCTGAGGGGGTTTCTTGTAGTAAAATATCAACATAAATGAGATCCCCAAAGGCTATGGTTGTAAGTGCCACATTGACCATTCTACATTGTGGCTGCTGCATAAAGAGAGTAAGGTGTTTTCTATAGACATTTGCAATACTAATTGTTGAACTATTCTCTGATTAGCCACCAGTTCGCCATTCAAGAGATTCGTCTGTCTCAAGTGATACTCTGCCCATGATTACTGGTCAGTATTGCTGAGGGCTCATCCACTTCCATTTGCCCCATCACTTTCTCCTGGGGAAACCTGTGGTTTAGTGCTGAATTGGAACAAACGGCAATCGGATTTTCAGTGGATTGCCGTTGGTTCCGATTTAGTGCTAAATAGTGGGTTTTCCAGGGTGAAGTGGAAGGGCAAAGGCAAAACCTCTCGGACAAGCACAAGACAAAGGAGAAAACACTCAGCCCCGTTCGAATCCACACAACGGGGATAGCTCCCGTTGCTCTGTCCCAGTTCCTGCCAACCTAGCAGTTCGAAAGCACGCCAGTGCAAGTAGATAAATAGGTATCGCTGTGGCGGGAAGGTAAATGGCATTTCTGTGCACTCTGGTTTCCATCACGAAGTGGTTTAGTCATGCTGGCCACATGACCTGGAAAGCTGTCTGTGGACAAACGCCTCCTCCCTCGGCCTGAAAGCAAGATGACAGCTGTGCCCTATAGTCGCTTTTTACTGGACATAACCGTCCAGGGGTCCTTTACCTCCCTCCCCCATTTTTTACCTAGACGAGTCCTGACGTGCTTTTCACGACTCAGACAATGGCTATGACTGATTTGGCTAATGAAAAAGTAAATACACATTTGACTGTGTATTTATGTGTGCTGTGGCCAGGATCCAAAGAGCCACTTAAGACACACTCATGAGCTTAGGTGTACTTAGAGGGAATTCCTCCCTCCCCCTTGCTGTTTTCCTTTGAAAACACATTCAAATGTGGCTTGTCGTGGACATAGCAGGATGGTGTCCGAGAAGAAGATGACTCTTCCACCAGGTATTGAACAGGTTTTGCATATCAGCTTTATATTTGGAGCTACAGTGATCAAAACATGCTTTGTAATCCTGTTACCTTTAGTTCTTGGCTTTATTGACTTGTTATTCCCGCATACAGCTGGGCTTTTGCAACTTTCTAACTCCAGAGATCATTTTCCACATTGTTGCGCTTGCCAAAGCAATGTGCCCTGAGCATATGGCATAGTAATCTGATGTGCTGCAGAGAATTCTGGGATATGGCTTCAGGTGCAATCTCAGTTCCCACAGATTGTTGGCCAAGTCTTATGAATTGAACATGCAAGCTTGGTTAGACCACACTTGTGCTATCTACTTCATTTTTTACTACAACCCCACCCACCAACCAAGCCAGGTGTGAAATAATGACTTGGAAGCCGAGCCAAATTCAAAATGGTGACAGACTATCTACATCTGCATGTACAAATGTGTATCTACATCAGGGGTCAGCAAACTTTTTCAGC